CTTTACCATGGTCCAACTCTAGGGAAACAGTCTTGTTTCCAAACTCTTGCCTGCAACCCTGACCTCAGGGCGTGTCACCCACGGCCAACCAGGGTCTGCATGGACCACCACTTCCCACTGACCTCTAGGCACCCTGGCCTCCTTTCCCGTCTTTGAAAACACCAGGCTCATTTCCGCCTGAGGACTCTTCCACAAGTCGGTCCCTCGGCCTGGAATACTCTTCGCCCAGGTTTTCGTAATGCCATTGCTTTCTCATCTGTTCAAGACTCAGCTCAAGTGTCACCTCTGGGAAGGCCTTTCCTGGCCACCCAAGCTAAAGCAGCAACCCCTCCCCGCCCCCATCACTCTCCCCCACTTCCAGATTCCTTTTTCCCAGGCCCCCTTCCCTGTCTGCTGGCTCTGATCTTTCTATTTCCACTAAAGGAACCACTCTGTCTTCTCACTGCTTCTTTTTAGGGCCTAAAACAGTGCATGGCACATAGGAGATGCTCAACAGTCACTGAACGAGTCGACAGAAGGGAGAAATAAACAGCAAATTCAGGATGGGGAAAGATTTCCACACTTTAAATATCTTACAATTTCACTTGTCCATTATATCTGGGTTTTTTTTTTTTTTTTAATAAAAGACAGAAAGGGGGGGGGAATGATTTAACAAGGCCAAAAAATAAAAATAAAGAAAAAATGGGGGAGAAGAACAGAGGCCCAAGAAGATTGAAAAAAAAACAAGGTGTGTACCCAGGAGTACGATTTTTAAGATAGCTACCATTCGAAAAGCATAAAAATGGAGTACAGTTTAGCAATTCCCATCACGAAAAGGATCCAGGCTCTTTGACCCAATAACTCCATTCCTGGGAATTATCCCAAGGAAATGAATTCAGAATTGGAACAAAAATAAAGAGGCGCCTGTACAAAGATGATTACAGTCACATTGTTTATAATAGCAGAAATCTGGAAACAACCGAAATGTCCAATAATAGGGGAAATGCTTTGGCAAATTACGGCATGTCCGCTGGATGGAATATCATGCGGCAATTAAAATGACCAAACAGTGCTGAGAGAGGTTAAAAAGTTTTGAATCCAGGGACACCTGGGTGGCTCAGCCGGTTAAGCGTCTGCCTTCAGCTCAGGTCATGATCCAGGGGGTCCTGGGATGCAGTCCTACATCCGGCTCCCTGCTTCTCCCTCTCCCTCTGCCTGCCACTTCCCATGCTTGTGCTCTGTCTGTCAAATAAATTAAAAAAAAAAAAAGAAAAGTACTGAATCCCTTCTAAGTACCAGGCACTGCCCAACCTACCTTCCTTATCTCAGCCAACACTTCACAGGAGTCCAAAAGAAACCTATTCCTATTCCCTTTTAACTAACAAGGAAACTGAGGTTCAGAAAGCTAAAGAACTTGCCCAAGAGCCAGCAAGAAGAGTCCTGACGTGTACGTGACCTTCTGCCCCCCCAGAGCCCATGCACACCCTGAGGTCCTCACTGTACCCCTTCATGTCCTCCTTAGTGCTCAAGACTGTCCTTTCCGGATCATGACTGTGTTGGGGAGGCCAATCCAGATCTGAAACAGCTAGCAAAAAGTGTCAGGGCACCTGAGAAATGCTTTTGAGAATATAGCAAGAAGCAAAACAAGATGACAAAGGAAACCACCTTTCGGGGGGGCAAGAAAGCACAAAGAAAAGAAGCCAGAGGTGGTCAGTAAGACCAGGCGTCGGGAAGGACAGAGCAGAACCATGAGACACGAAGCCCGAAGGACAAGCAAGCCTGGAGCTTCTGGAAACTGGGTCTGCCCTTCCTCACCCACTCTTCTCCCTGGGCCCGCCCTTAGCAGTGTTCAATAAATGTTGGCTGAAATACACACATCTCGTGGTATGTGGATAAAGCAAGAGAAAAGACAGAAGAGGAGCTACTAGAGTCAGGGAGATGAGTGGGCTGGAAATGGGGACCGCCACAGTGTGACCGCGGGCTGTGGTGGCCCACGGGGCAGTGGTGGGACTAAGGAAGGCGATGCACCATTCCTGGACTGCACCATCTGAGAACAGGTGTCAGGTGCAGGCAGGAGATTTGGCTTAGCTGGCGGCATGGCCTCCCTGCACCGTGTGGGCTGCTAGAAGCCAGAGCAAGCTTCCGGAGGAAACGGAGACAGACAGTCATTTCATGGGAAAAAGTATAGAGATTCCTCCCGCCTGCTGGGGTAGGTACGGTTCTGCTCGGAGGCAGAGGGCTAGACTAGAAGACCTCCCCAGGTCACTCTGCTTTCTTAAGGCCAACCAACCGCCCAGCGCCACCACTCCCAAAACCAGGCTTACTTACTTAAGAGGGCAAATGCCACAGATGACCCCAAGACTGGATAGAGCTGGTTATTACTGAAAGTGGGGGATCGCTATGTGGGAGTTCACCCTACCATTCTCTCTACTTTTGTACACGTTTGAACAGTTCCATAATAGAGTTTTCAAAACATGTAAACTCAAACCCAGGCATTTCATCTAAAAATCACCAGGGCCTGGCCCAGGCTTTGGGGCTGCCCTCTGGATCCCAGACAAAGCCACCAGAGTCTTAAAAAATTATTCTATGCCAACGGATTTTTCAGGAGGATGAGAAAGGAATTTGCAAATGCAAGGCAGGCAGTACAAGCAGGTCATCAAGACTGTCCGTGTTTAAGTCACAGCTTGGTCTCTCCTTGGCTGTGTGCCTCTGAGCAAGTCACTTAACCTCTTTGTACCTCAGTTTCTTCCTCTATAAAATGGGGATAACAATAGGACCTTCCTCACAAGGTTGCTGGGGGGAGTAAATGGCACATAAAACTCCTACCAGGGGGGCCAGGCATGGAGTAAGCTTGCAAAAAGTCTGCTGTTATGATACATCCATTTTGTAACATGGACAGTCACTTAATCGTACATCCATCTGATCAGTAATCTGGAGAAAATGAAAAAGGGCGAAACCAGCCCTCTACTTCTGAGACCTCAGGCAGGGGTGTGAGGATAGTGCGTCCGGCGTACCTAGAGTGGCCCCGGCCGACCCAGGCCTCTACTGGCCAAGGGGCTAGAGAGGGCTCCTCCTTTCACAAAAAGCCAGCACGACAGAAACAGGAAGCTGCTTCCTTTCCTTTCCATTCTGAGCCAGCATTTCCTTTTCTGTTTTAAAAAGCATTCCTTGTCTGCAGCCCAGCCCTTCCCCTGCCCTCAGCAGCCCCAGGCTCAAACACACCCACAGCCATCTGCATTTCTCTTGGATTGTTTTCTGCCCACCGGCAAGGTCAAAGGTTCCTGGTAGACCCTGAGTGAGCACGCCCTTGACACCAGGCAAACTGGCACGCAGGGCCAGGGGCAGGAGCAAGGACTCCAGGCACCCAGACCTCTGCGGGCCTGCTTTCCTCACCTAGTTGGAAGGATTAAGTGAAATATATCTTTAAGTGCTAGTGTGGTGCCAACACACTCTGCCTCCCTTTGGAAAGCACCTCCCTCGACAAAAGGCAACCCCACACAGCTTGGTAAGTCTAGGGAGTCACCAACCTCTCCTCAACCCACCTGATTTAAACTGAAATCTCAAATGGGACCCCAACACCTTAAAAACATAAAGCTTAGCTGAAACTAAGGCTTCACTTTCTTGCCTCTTTCCCTGTTCATGGCTTAAGGAAGTATTTCCCCAACTATGTTCGGTGGAATAAAGAGCCCTGGATAAATAATAAGTTTGGAAGCACTTGCTGCAGGACTTCTCAGAGCCTTTGAAACACTAATCATCTTCAGGAATCTCCAGTAGAGGGCTGATGTGGCACATTCTCAACGCCCAGAAGGGCTCTTTCACAGATACAGTATAGGAAAAGCTGCATTAAGCCCTCTCAAGGGCCCCAGACTGGAGGGAGGGGGCTCTCAAAACAGCGCCCAATGATGGAGAACACTCAAGTCACTTTTTACATATGCCTGTAAATTTTTCCCCAGCCAGTAAAAACTCTGAACGCACCATGAATAAAGCTGGTCCTGCTCTACCATGCCCAAACCAAACCCTTGGGACTCAAAACCTTCCAGGTGTCATTCTGAAGAAAGCCCCACCACTCTACAAGCAGTTTATCTCACCAGAAAAGCAAAACCCTCACCAATGTTACAGAGTGGAGTCTGTAGTTTGTCCTGTGCAAAAAGTTACTTTTCCTAACCGCAGCTGGTCTTTCCACGGACTTCAGTATGCTTTCTTTCCCCTCTTTTCTTTTTTTTTATTTTTAAACACAAGTCTTAATTCATTCTTGCAATTATTCTGTGGGTGGAAAAGTGAAAAGGGGGAGAAAAATGGCAAGCAAACAGGATACTTCAGCTCCATTATTTTGAAAGGCAATCTGCCCAGTTAAAGCACACTGCTGCCCACCAAGGCCAGAATGGCAGAGAAATAGAGATGCATATAAATATATAGGTTTTATACGTGGCCGCAGCCCAAATTGAGGCTTTTTCGATGCAGATGAGAAACAGCCACGCCTAGGAACAAATGACAAGCATTTCTGATCCCAGCATCTATCCCCAGCGAACCCCTCTGCATCTCTACCTGGGGTCTGCGATAGGGCAGAAAGCCAAGATGGACGCAAAGACATTGGATTAAAAGGTTGTATCTTCTGGAAGTGTTAGCACATCATTTGTTACCTTGACATTAAAACCAACAACAATGTATTGTGGCAGATAACGCAACATCTGCACAAATTTAAGACAAGCAGCAGGCCCTACAGGAGTAAAAGCTCACACGCACCCAAGTCCCAGGGGATCTTTCAGTGGAAGGATAAGAAGCCCTTGAAAGTACATAGTCAGGTTCAAAGACTCAGAGAGACCATTCTGACTGAGCCCGCCCATTGGCTGGACTGGTTTTCAAAAAAGGGCCCACGCACAGGATACCCCAAGCTGCTCCCCAAGAATCTCTCCACTGCCCAGGGTCCCCAAGACACCGAGATCAGGGCTGGCAAGGCAAACCCTGCTGCTTGCTTTTGCAGGAAACTCCTGGAAGTGGAGGACCGCAGCAGCACAGGACAGTCTACATGGCCCCTGTGGTCTGAATCCCAGCCCAGTGCTGGGTCCCTCCTCCACCCGGTCAATTCTCTCATGGGATTCCTGCCGAGTCACTTCACCCTCAGGCCTTCAGTCTCCTCACCTGCCTGCACGATGACAGGGCTGGACCAGATGGAAAGCCCAAGATCCTTTGAAACCCTCTTGCCAAGACACCCCAAATAGCTGTCTGATCAGTATTTGCGGTTGGTGAGGAAAACGAGGCTCCAGTTCAGTGACGTGACTTTCATGAGCTCCTGGGGATAAAGACCTCACCGCACAGAGGCGCCCAACCTGACACCCAGCACCCCCTCTGCTGTCTTGGGCCAAAGAACATTCATTCCCTCTTCTAATTGGTCAGCCCGAGCACCCTCCCAACTTTGCTGCAGTTTTGTGGTTACAAAACTAGAACCCACAGTCCTTGACAGATACCTCAGAACCTCAGCCACGGCAGCTACAAAACTAGAACCCATAATTTCTGACAAAGAACCCAGTACACCTCAGCCTCGGGGACCATGTCCTTCCTGTCTCCTGTTCACAGTCCTCGATCTCACGGTGGATGCAGATGCAGGGGCAAAGGGGTAAATGCATAAAGGCTAACATTTTATAAATCCTGGCATTCATGTTGGGGAAGGGGCAATATATTACGCCCCAAAGATTTTTATTTTATTTTATTTTATTTTATTTGAGGGAGGGAGAGCATGAGGTGGGGGGGCAGTGCACGCACACACGAGCAGGGGGGAGGGGCAGAGGGAGAAACAGACTCCCCGCTGAGCAGGGAGCCCCACGCGGGGCTCGATCCCAGGACCATGGGATCATGACCTGAGCTGAAGGCAGGCACTTCACTGACTGAACCACCCAAGCGCCCCTATGCCCTAAAGATTTTAAAAAATAGGATTCGGATTGCATACTTTGAGCCAGCAAATTCTACTTCTAGGAAGCGACTCTCTGCATCAGGATTTATAAAAGCAGGACCTGAAAACAGCCTGGATGGCCAACACTGGGAGGACTGGTTCGATGAACTGATGGTATGACCACACAACACAGCCGCCAACAGTGATGACGTAGATCTGTGTGTACTGATGTAGAGAGAAGATCCTGCACTATAAAGCAATACACATGATATGCTCCACAAATATATACGTGCACGTCTGTAGGCAAATGCAGAGGACAGAAACACTGGAAGAATATACAGCAATACGTTAATAAGAATTAACCAGATCTGAGAGGTGGCATTATGGGTGTTTTTTTTTTCTTTTGTTCATCCGTATTTTCATTTTTACACCGAACACAGACCATTATGTGTATCTCTAAGATATTTCTGTAAAAAGTAGAAAGCTAAAGAATAGTCTGCACATCAGAGGGTTTATTCAGAAAGAATAAGGCAGGTATCCATTAAAAAAATTATGAGCAAGCTGATCTCCAGGCAGCTTCTCGTTTCTCAGTGACGCCAGCCCAGAGCTGGTTGCATCACAGACCTGTCTTGGAGGATGTGCCGGGCTGCACTTCAGGGAAGCAGACCCAAGCCCAGCTCAGAGGCTGCAGAGCCTGGGGTGGCCACCAGCAGGCCCAGTCTTCGGGAACGGAGCCACCCAACCAACACCCCTGCGCTGCCCGTGTTTTGTTACTGGCCACTTTCCGGGGCTCAGCAGCCACGATCCTGATCAGAAGGGCCAGCACGGCTGCCAGCAGCAGTTGCAAAGTTCCGAATGCAGTTCTGGAGACCAGGCAACCCAGGTCCGGGCGCCTACTCGCTCAGTCTCCTAAGGCCTCTGAGCCGTGATGTCTTCATTTGCAAAATGAGAATAAACCCTCCTAAGGCAATATAAGTCAAGGGCGTAGCAGAGTGCTCGACCCAGAACAGGTGAACAAGACTGTTGCTGTCCCATGTCTGCCCCCACCGTGCGGGCAGGCCATTCCCATAACCCCAAAGGAGCCTACATGGCTTTCTCTTCGAACTGAATGCGAGAGAAGATTCCAATCCGTCTGTTCCGAAAAAGACGTATACTTTTTAAAAAGCACAGTTTAAAGAGGCTTGGTCGCAGGTGTTGCTACATCCCCCCACAGCTGCAGACACCGTCACTGAGGACCAGACCCTTTGCAGTCCCTCTCCAGACCATGGCCAGCAGGCAGGTCCAGAACACTTGTGGTGGGGAATGCAGCTCCCCAGAATGTGAGGCCGGCCCAGAGGGGAAGGAGGCCTTCCCATTAGTGTCCCCAGGCAGCAAACCGGCGGCCTCCTGGCACTCACATGAACTTGGGCTGCAGACTCGGGTGAGGCCTTCCTCCAGCACCACCCAGCCCTCCCCAGCCTCAGAAAACGGTAGCATCCTCTCCAGGCCACCGCTGAGGAACGCCGGGGGCAAGTTCCACCAGGGAAAAAGTTGCCAAGGCAAAAGGAGACACCAAAGGGGACAGTGCCCCATCTCTGCATCCCTCCAGCAGGAGGCTGGAACTCTGGCAATGGAGCAGAAGGAGAGAAACGCCCCACTCTGGAGCAATGGCTGGTGGGGAAAGGGAAACCAGCTTTCGCTCACAGTTCTGCTGGGGACATAATTTGGGACACCAAGACTCTGGGAATATTTCCCACAACAACAGAAGGTTAGCCTGGCCAACCGTTCGGTCATATTCCTGATCCCTAAGCACTCAGCAAGCCACGTTACCGGACGCAGTAACGGTTCACCTGCCTGGCTCCCCAATGGACTCAAAAGTGTCCCCCAAAGACCAGGAGAGCATCCTCCCTATCTCAGAATCCTTGCCAGGGTGGCTGCAGTTAGCTCAGCAGGCGAACCAGTAATAACTGAAGGTGTGTCCAGTGAACGGATGTTCATGCAAACCCAAGGGCCCGATCTGTGAGGACAAAGGGCAGCCCTCTCCTTTCCCGGGGGGGGGGGGGGGGGGGGGTTGGGACCACAGGGAGAGCTCAGGTACTCCACACAGCAGGGTTCTAACCTCTGCGTCACCCGTCACCCACAATCAAGCTGGGTGAAAGGCAAACCCCACCGACCTTCTGAGTAGCATCAAGTCCTCCCGTGGGCGCCTCCTGTCTCCCGGGCCACTCCTCAGCCAAAGCGGCCAAAATGCAGACTGTACCTACACCACAGCTCTCCAACGTCACCCTCCCAGAAAGGCCCAAGGGCAAGATCCTTTGGGGACTCCCTTCTCTAAGTCACTTGTATAGGAGGGACTTAAGAGCACAAGGTAGGAGACTTGGTAGGCCTTGGCCTCTTCTGGAAAGTACTAGCAGGTAGGCAGAAAAGGGCAAAGTTACCATGCCACTAAACATGAATCTTCACGAGGCACTGCTCTCTCCCCAGAGCCCAGCACAGACTCGGCCCACAAAGGATGAATACATGAGGGACTGAACTGGCCTGGGACTCCAGGCCCAGCTGTGAGGCCAGCCAGGTGTCCCAGTGTGAGCATATCTGGGAACGAGAACATTCTATCCTGCCTCGGTGGAGTTCTCAGACCCCCTAGGAGGGTCTGATGGAGCCAGGGCACCAGCTTCCGCTAGGATGAAGTAGCCTCACTGTTTACAGATTCAGACTCTTGAGTTCAGATTTTGTCTTCCTCCTTCCCCATCTAGAGAGAAGAAACTGTGTGGTGAAGGTTGGTGGATTTCCAGGAAATATTAGGAGAGACTGAGAAGGGTCGAGCACACTGGCTAGCAGGTAGGAGGCAAACATTAAAACCCTGGCTCCTTCCACTCTGTCGGATCCAAACAGGACCACTACACAGAGAAAAGTCCTCACAGGGCAGCTGGACATGCTGACCCCCGCGCATCATCACAGCCTGCAATCTCGGGCACCAGCAGCTGAGCCCAGGTCAGAGACTTCCAGGGGCATCCCACGTGCTGTTTCTGCCAGCAAGCACTTAGTGAACGAAGGCCAGAGCGTGCTGGGGTTCCTAACATCCTGGGAGAAGTCGGGCGCAGCTGCGTAAGCCAACCCCTCTGGTCAGCCCCTTTCTTCAAAAGCCAGGAATCCAGTGTTGCAAGCATAGGCTCTGGGGGCCCTGGCCTGGAATACGATGGGAGAGGAGCTTGCAGAACGGAAAAGAAAGCTAGAGCGGACATCACCACTGCCCCGCTTACCTCACTACATGCTGGTGGGACTGTCTCCTGGCCTGGGTCGCCCACCACCAGGAAATAAGAGCCAGCTCTGTCGAAGTACCTTCTCCTGAAGGCCGCCTGGGTCGTGAATGCCACTGAACCCTCCCTCGGGAAAGTTTATAGGCAGAATCTTCCGGTAGTAAGACACGGACTTACAGACTCGCAACACTGCAGGTTTCTGTGGTCTCATCCCCATTTTACAGATGGGAAAGCTTGAGGTTCAGAAGTCATGGGACTTGCCCAAGGTCACACAGACCCCCAAACCTGAACTCAAAGCTGTCCGCCCACTGTCCCTATAAGCAGAATTCTTTGACTACTTCCCCCCTATTTGATCAGTTTGGTAAATCTGGGTTTTAGAACTATTTTTAAACAGGGGCATGTGTAACAAACGTTTGATTCAACCCAACTGAGCGCCCTTTACTAAACCACTGAATTTAGAGCCATAAGAGCCTGAAGAGATCCACTCCAACCTCCCTGTCCAGGTTAGGAGGCTCAGGCCTCCAGGGGGAAGAGACTCATTCAAACTAGCTGGAGGCAGCCCTAGGGAACCAGTTCCTGGGGTCTAAATTCCCACCCCCAAAAACAAACCAGTTCCTGCCTTTTCAGGGAGTGGGGTGGACCCAAATCCCCATCACAATAGAGACAACAGGGAGCTGGGTATTTTCCCTTTGGACCTCTGCGTGGGTTTCTGGCCTCTGAATAAACACAGCCCAGAGACCCAAAGAGCTGGATGCTTTGGGGTGTCCTGATGCCATACCTTTGCCAAAACAAAACAACCCTGGAAGTCAGCGTACCTAGAGGGCAAGGCACCATTTCCAGGGAACGAACAGTAACTGGTTCTCCTGTATCCACTCTGTGAACCAGGAGCTCTTCAGAGAGACACGGGGGACAATCCGAGAGAGGCCCACACAGAGAACACAGCCATCCAACCAGACACATGCTACCCGACGACGATCCCTCCTCCCACAACTAAGCCACACAGGCCCCCTATTGTATCAGTTTAAAAATTGAACTTTGCTGGGCAAACACATTCGGCTGTGTTCAAGAAACCAGTTTCTCTCACCACTTGGAAAACAGCAGCGTGCATGCAAGAAGGGACAGCGGGGGGGGGGGGGGGGGGGTTGTTGGTTGGTTTGTTTTTTAAGCAAAGCCCTGGTCATCACTGCTATAGCAACCAGAACAAAAAGAAGAATAGCCAGCACTGATTAGATGCTTCCAATGTCCCTGGTTTTGTAGCTCTTAAGAAAACAGAACTGCAGGAGAGAAGTCAACCCCAAGCATTCTGGATCAAACAGGGATTCGGGCTTCTGGTGAGCTCAAATCCCTGACTGGCAGAGGCAATCGGCAATAAGGGGTTGGGGGGTGCAGGGAGGTTGAGAAATGAAGGTTCTAATAAAACAAAACATCCCCAGATCTGCAGAAGGCCAGATGTACCAGTGCAAGGTGAAAAGAAGGCACTTCTTCAAGATGGGGTAGCGATGAAGTGGCGCCTGGCATTTCGCAGCCTTTCGAGTCTCTGGACAAAAGCTAGTTGGGAATGCACTAGTTTCCCTCTATTGTGTATGGGGGAGGGTGAAGACTCCCCCGTTCTGAGAACCCAACCACCCTTCTGACTGGTTCTTCCAAATCCTTTTAATACTGCACTTCCCGGCTATAATTTGAGGGAGGAGGGCCTGCAGATCTTATTCTTATTTACACTGGAGAGCAGCTCCTCCAGAACCCCTTAAATAGTGTCATCTTCCCACCAAAAGCGTCATGCCCCAGCACAATCCTCCCTAAACCAAAATCCAGTGTGTGAGGAGGAGTGGGGGAGTCGGTGGGTAATTATATTTTGAGCAGAGAAATGCTGTGGCTGCGCGAACGGAAAGCACCAAATGCCTGAACAGTAAAAAATGCAGTTTCAGCAAACACGTTTTGAAAAGCGGCAGACAAAAATCCTGGAAGAGAGGAAAGGAAGGAACAAGCCCGAGTCCGGGGCGTGAGGGGAAGACAGAGAATGGCGGGCCTGTGGCCACACTTCAGGGGGACCCCCCACGCCTCGTCACCCCGGCCCACGGCTGCTCCTCACAGTCACACAGGGAAAAGTCCAGCGTGTGACTCAGTGGGAGAATGAGTCCTGCAGCCCCGCAAAATGGAAACGGGGTGGGGGCAGAGATGGGGAAGCATGGGATGCCCGCGCGCAGCCCACCCCGCCCAGGGGCGCCTCCAGCCTCCACCCCAGTTCCCACTCCGCCCCTCCCCCCCCAAATCCCGCCCAAGGTGAGGAGCTGGTCCTGGGGGGTCCCCAAGCCGCCTCATCAGCGAGTGGAGGAAGGAGAGGAGGGGGCGACCCGAGCTCCAGGATGCATCTGGGAAGGAGTGCACCGGGGCAGCGAGGGAGGTGCTGGGGGCTGCTTCCCGGGCGCGCGGCCCCCTTACCTCCAGGGTCCGGATCTCCTGCTGGGTGAGGTCGTTGGACACGGCGCACTTGGTACGCAGCCCGCGCAGGCTGCCTATGGAGATGTCGATGAGCTTCTGGAGCTGGCCGCACTGCTGCAGCGCCCGGCTGGCTGCGGCCCCGGGGCCCCCGTCCGCGGCCGCCGCGTCCCCCCCGCCGCGGCCCTCCTTCTTCTCCCCCATCGCCGCCGCGCGCAGCGCCGCTCTATCCATGCCTCGGCATCGGGGCCGCGGGGTGGCCGAGGCGGGGAGCCCGGGGGGCGCGGGCGCCTCGGGAGGGAATCCGCGAGCCGGGAGGGCTGGACGAGGGGCGCCCCTCGGCGCAGCCGAAGCCCGGACGCGAGGACAACCGGCCGCCGAGCCCGCCCCTCCCGCCCGCCCAGCAGCGGCGGCAAAGCGAAAGCCGCGGCGACCCGACGGCTGCGGCTCCCGAAGCTTTTAAGTGGCAGCGGGGGCCGGGTCAGGGTAGCTGGGCATGCTGGGACTTGTAGTCCGCGCCGCGCACCTGCCGCCCGGCCCGCGCCCTCGGGGCCCGGATCCGCGCCCGGTGCCCTGAGCCCCGCGCCCCGCGGCCCACAGCTTCCCCCCTCGGCGGCGGGCTCGGGCTGTGCGACACCGCCCCGCCCCTGCGCCCCGGGAGTGGCTGCTACGCGCCAGCTCCTCCCCCGGATGCCCAGAGCCGGGGGGGGGGAGCCTCGTCTCCCCCGCCCTACCCACCCCCCCAACCGGCCCCCCCACACCGATCCCCCCCTACACACGGTACTCCCGCCTTCAGCCTGGGGGCTTCCCACGACCCCCGGATGGGGCGGGGCAAGGGCCCGGGGGGTCCGCTTCCTGCAATTCTGCGGCCGCAGCTGAACCCTTGGAAGATGGGGACAGTGGAGGTTCCAGAATTTCTATGTGGGTTTAGGGGCCGCCATCTAGTGGGAAGGGGCCTAAAGTACTTGTCCTCCAGCTGGTTCGCAGAGCATTGGACTCTTGATTGTCTATGCCAAAGGGAATTCTCAGGCCTGGAGAAAGACGTCAGGGCTTTCTTCAGGAACTTACTTACCCACCAAAATAAGTATCCCATCCCTCCGCCACCCCAACCCAGCAGGCGAGACCAGACGCCTGGGGTGGCACATTGATTTGTCATGGGCTTGGAGTGCTCCCGAGCACACAGCCTGGGCTCAAATTCACACTCTACCTAGCAGTGTGACTTGGGCAAAGTGAGCTCACCTCTGAGTGTCTGAGTTTCTGCATCAGTGAAAATGGGGTGATAATAGTACCTAGGGTTCACATAAAGAATGAGTTAATGTATGGACCTAAATTGATTACTGACACATTTGTCACTGGATAAATGCTAGTAATTGCTACAAGCCAACCTCAGATCTCCTAACCACGGCCCCAGACCCCCGCTGTGGACAGAGGCACAGTACCCCTACTAACCTGTGTGTGCCCGCCTGTCTATGCCTTCTAGCTCAGCATTCAAGCTGCAACCCATCCCCGCACTCTCCCCTCCACGCCCCATCTCCTGCCGGGTTCACATGTGCCCTCTTACTCGGCTAAACTGAAAAGCCAAGACTCGAATCAAAAGCGCACAATTCCATACTTCCAACATCTGCTATCCAGAAGGAGTATCTCTGAATTTTCTCTTGTAAGTGCCTTGGCTGCAGAAGCTGCTGGCTAATTTATCTTTGAATCCTCTTCCCAGAGCCAAAAACAGCGCATGGCCCACAGCAGGAGCTCCATGAAGTTGTGCAACCCATTTCGTGAATTCTTCAGGCACATCCTGTGCTGAGTTTCTGCTATCTTTCAGGCCAGCCCAGGCCTGGGCCCTTTCTCTCCCTGTCTGTTCTGTCTGTCTCTCCCCTCCTTTTTTTGAAGAATGAGAACTGTACAGGAGGTAGGTTCCCAGCGTTGTAGTCCTGCCTGAACTCTACACATAGTGCTGGGTGGCAGTTTCTATTAAACCTCCCTGTAATGTCATTTGAAATTTCAAAACTAAAATACAAAACTATGGTAACTTTAAAATGTGCTTTTGCAAACGAACCCCTCCTCTGACAATTTTCTGAAACACAGGAGGCTTCCTCCCTAACTCTTGCCCCTTCCCACTCCTCACTTAATTTAAAACAGGACTCCCTGTTCTGTATCTATGAAGCCCCCCACTTCTGACTGACTGTTACCTTAGCCCAGCCCATGGCCCTTACAGAAGAGTAGTTAACTTCCCTGAATGGGAACTGTGCACCTGTTGTTCTCCACCTGAGTGTGAATCAGAATCTCCCGGGGGCTTGGTAATAGGCAATGATGGACCCCACCCTTAGGGTTTCTTTTCTTTTCTTTAAGATTTTACTTATTTATTTGACAGAGAGAGAGACACACACACCGAGAGAGGGAACACAAGCAGGGGGAGTGGGAGAGGGAGAAGCAGGCTTCCCGCCGAGCAGGGAGCCCGATGCAGGGCTCGATCCCAGGACTCTGGGATCCTGACCTGAGCCGAAGCAGACAGACACTTAATGACTGAGCCACCCAGACGCCCCACCCTTAAGGTTTCTGATTCTGTGGCTTGAGGATGGGGCTGGAGAATTTGCATTTCTAACAAGTCCTGGGGTGCTGTTGCTGGGGCTGCCGTGGGTCTGGGGTCCTGAACTTTGAAAGCGTTGGTGTAGAGGAAGGGCAGTGGGCCCAGAGAACTATCTCCAGGGACCGTCCATAGTGTGTCCCAGCTGGGCTGGTCGAGAATCTCTGTTTGTTCAGCAGCCAGAGCTGCCGGGCTTGAGTGACTGACTCACTCTAACTCAATTCACAGGAGGTTTCCTGTAAGTGCCTATTGATGCATTTACATCGAGCTGTAATTGCCACTGGGGCCTGGTTGACACATTTTCCCCCCAGGGCCACTTTGGGTAGGAAGCCAGATCCTGAGGAGAGTAACCGCCTGCCTGGCAGTGGTGTTGGGGCTGGAGACTGGACAAACCCCAGCTCCCTGGCTGCTGTCTCGCCAGGATCCGCGCAGCCGGGCGCTCTTCTGTGGACGCGGTCTTCCTTCTGATCCGTTGGAAGCAGTCAGTCAGGCACTGCCTACCTACCCACTCCATCTCGGAGGCACTGACGCCCTTCTCGGGAAGGTTCGGGTGTCCCCTCGGCCACACCTTTACAGAACTGACTCTTAAGGGATGCAGAAAGCTAGGCTTTACAAATAATGCCTCCGTTCATCCCCTTAACATTCAGTAAGTACTCCTCAAGTGTTTACTTAGGTGGCCGGCCCTATTCTAGGCTCAGGGAAACAGTAGCGAACAAAACAAAAATCCCTACCCTCAGGGAATTTGTATTCTGGCGCGAGAAGACAGACAAGGAAGAAAGAAGTGGAATGAATGCCCAGTATGGCGGATGGTAACAGGTGCCTGGATGCAGCAGAGAGCAGGGAGAGGGACGGGGAGTGTGGCGTTTACGACCTTCCCCGGAGCTGTTTCAGGGAGCGGGGTTCTCAGTTCTGGCTGGGAATGGCTGTCTGACCCCAGGCAAGCCCTCTCTCATCTCAGAGGGTCTTTCCCCTCATTTGCAAGATGGAGGTCACGTGTTGTGAGGATGGACAGAGAGAGATCTGCAAAGCGAGGGTCACAGAGGAAGGGTCCTACGTATTTATTTTTATTTATTGGTTAAATGCTTACTGTGGGCAGCGCTGTTCCAAGCGCCTTAGTTAACTCACTTAACTAATGTTAGTTACTCTCCTTTCCCACCCTCCTGAGTGAGTCTCTCCGGGTTTGATGAATTCATCCATTACGTGGTGATTCTTAGGCTCAACTTCATCTCCAGGCTCTTGAGACTTTCTCTGTGGCATCCTCAGTACGGAGAGTTCTCCCCTTCCTTTCCCCCTCCCCTCTGCCTCAGGCACCTGCGTTATGGGCACACTAAGTCTTCGAAGCTTGCAAAACCCTGCGTGCGTCTCAACACCACGCGGCCGCATGGGCAAGTTCACGCTTAGACCCAGCAGGCACGAGAAGGGCAGCTGCCATGTGCCAGGCTCTGGGATAGGACAAGTGAAGGAAACCAAGTCCTTATTCCCCGTGCAACAAACCTGAGAGTGCAGACAGAAAGTTAACAAGTCAGCAAATATATTACCAGAATAAATTCAGGGAAGGATAAGTGGTTTGAAGGGGGAAAGCTAATAGCTGATAGCAAGTCCCCAGGATCTGTGGTGCTTCATTAGCTGAAGTGGTCAGAGAAGCGCGCTCTGACTCCTTTCGAATTAAGATCTAAGGAGGAGCAAGGCATGTGGAACTCCGGGAAGGGGGCATTCTAGGCAATGGGAACATCACGTGCAAATGGCCTGAGGCAGGAACAACTTGGCACACTCCGGGAACAGAATGAACCAGTGTGGCTACAGCACAAGCAGAAAAGAACAGGGGTTGGAGAGGACGGGGGCACTGCTGGGAAGGGGTCCAATAAAGTAGGACTTGGGCAGGAAGTTTGGAATCTTCTCTAAGTCTTTGTTACTCCTCATGTGGTCCAAGATTCCTGCATCGCCTGGGAGCTTGTTGGAAATGCAGGGTCTCCAGCCCCACCCCAGAGCAGCTGAATCGCAGCCTGGATTTTAGCAAGATCCCCATTTGACTTGTATGTTCAAGTTTTTAGAAGCATAGCTGTCTAAGCACATGGAAAGAAAGCCACATTCCTGACAATTTTAAGTGTTTTAAAACATCTCTCCGACCCCTGGAAGGGTGGATGTGAGAGACGCAGGGGTACACAGCAGGGGCATTGGTTATGAGACTGCTGCAGTGGCCCAAGGGAGGTCACAGGTGCAGAATCAAGCGCAGGTGCGCGAGGAGGATACGGAAGAAACAGGATGCCCGACAAGCCCATGGGTTGAACGCGGAAGGAGGAAAGAAATGGTTTGAGCGATCTTGGCCGCTGCCCCTCCTAAGACACTGGGGGGCGCTGTCGGAGGAGCCTTACCCTGCAGCCAGGCGTGGCCACACCCACTCGCCCCATTCCCACCTCCACGCCCCGCATTGTCTGACTGGCAGGTGGCAGGCTTCTCTTAGAACCTAGGGCAGTACAGGAGAAGCTTTGTTTTCACGGATTTTACCCTCAGACTATCCGGGAAATGCACCCTGGAGAGATGGGCTCCATTATCTGCTCCCTGGGCTCATTCATTCATTCTTTCATTCATTCACCAAAGATTCACTGAGCCCCCAATAGGCGATGCCCTGCGTCTTGTGCTAGCCTGTGGGAACAGAGCAGTAAGTGACACATCACTTTATAGTTTATAAACAGACTTTCCTTTGAAAGGAAAGCTCACAGTAACCTGTGCTGTGCTTCCTAAGGCCTGTCCCATCTGGCACGC